GACATGTTATCTACCAGCCCTTGTGCTCTACAGAACAATTGGAGCGCTTATATCTGTATTTACAGTGCTCGCTTACATGCCACTCTATATGTGCCGGGTGCTGCTACCAAATGCAGCGCACATTTTTGCATTTCTCATCGATTTTTCGCGAGTGTCTGCAAAATGGGGAAGGGACAGGCGGAGAGGACTGTAATAATAGCAGTAGTGTGCTAATGATAACGAGAGGAGAATCACTCTTATCACTCAGTGCTTCTGAAATGTCAAATAGTTAAAATATCTAATAAGTGGTAAATAGCTAATTATTCCGCCATAGTAGGATGCTAAGGATTCTGTTGAAGAAAGTGAAGAAAAAGGTGTGTGCAGTGGGAAATTTGCCGCAGTTCAGTATATGACATGAAATTTTTAGGCGACGGTGTAAGTGATGATTTGGAATCCTCGGTGTCAACGGATAGTAATAACCGTGATTTTCGCTACGGTTTCTTTTTGTGCTATTTTCCGGACAAAGCAATCTCTTCGGATGACAAAACTGATGAAAAAGAGAATTGGTCACGAGCAGTACAGTGTGAGATAGACGAAAAGTAACGTATACATTTGTGTAACACGGATATTAGTTTGGAACATGTTCAGGAGTACCGAGTGATAGCTGATTTCAGATATTCCTGTCTAACTGGTGCCGACTGCTCACATAAACTGGGTGCAGTGGAGATGAGATTTCATATACAGCAGCAGAAAGCAACCGATTCTGTTGGACGTGAATATCTTCCACCTCATGTTTCTCAGTGCTCGGAATGGGGCCGAGTAAGATTTTTTTTAACCATATTTGTTACTCCTTTTAAAATGTTAGCTGCCAGTGCGTAAAAGATTTATGGCAAAATTCTATCGACTATGTCCATCACCTCGATATGCGCCTCTTCCTTTCGTAAAAGATAGACTGTAGAGCCGCGAACGGAGTACTTTTTACAAAATGTATGAGTTGGAAGGGAGCGAGATTTTTTCTTCCCC